GGGGGGGGGGGGGGGGGGGGGGGGGGGGGGGGGGGGGGGGGGGGGGGGGGGGGGGGGGCATTGATAGCCATAGTAGGAACTAAAATACTATGGACGTTGGCACTAATAGCCCAATAATTAATGCGGCAACATATATCACAACAGGGGGTCCCGAGTTCAAGACCCGGCTTATGTACTTTTTCACTATATATATATATATATATATATATATATCAGTAGTGGTGTGATATGGCTGTATATCAGCACTGGTGAAAGGCGTGCGTTGGCACGAGGCCACAGGCTGAGTGCCTTAGCGTCCCACCAGTGTTTATATACAGCCATATTGCACTGCTACGAGTGTGATATTGCATTTATACAACAGTTCGACAACACAATCGTGTATATAAATAAGAAAATCAAACACAGAGAGCCTAAAACCCTATTGTTTTAGGAACTACTTTCTTCCGCCATTCATTCACATCTGCAGCTGACATCAGAACAGCAGAAGCCGTTACTAATTCTCCAGTCACTTCAGAGCTAGTGTTTGAATGATTCTCTATAGCGTAATTTCTAAAGTGATGATAAAACAGCTGATTTTGCTGATATTTTAAGATTATGAGGCTGAACGTGACATCCATCTACAGAGATATATTTTTACAGTGTTAAAGTCTACTGTATTTCTATGTTGCATCAGGATATCACAATAATTAACCCAGAAAAAAGCAACGCAGTCACTACCAGACTGCTGTTGTGTTTGCGATAAGGAGGGGGAGTTTGGGTATGAAGTCTTTGAATAACTCTGTTGAGAACCGGGATCCTTATGAATAAACTGCATAGTTGCAATCTATACAAAAGAGAGAGAGAGAGAGATCGACTGAGAATATCACTTACCAGTTTAATAATGATTTGATCAGCTGTAGTTAGAAAACACAGTTTTAATCATCTAAGCAAGGGCTTATTATGTTGTCCTGGTGTCATCTTGTGGATAGACAACATCAATCGTCTTTGGTTGATAGGCACCAATAGTATCTGGATGCAGCCTTTATGATGCAAGCTGAGATTGCATCAGTCAGCCATGCAATGTCAGACACAATGGAGTGACGTCACTGTGACAGGTGTGGTAAGGGGTGGGGTTGGGCAAGCGCATTGGATGCAGCTCAGATTGCACTGCACCAGGTCTGCATCCAGAACCCTCTCTGACGCGCTGTCTCTCAGAAATTATAAATATTTTGAAATAGGCACTATCCTTATAAATAAACTGCATAGTTGCAATCTGAACGACCACATTATCGACTAAAAAAGCCTTAAAAGTACATTATACTGTCCAATAGCTGCAAGATTTGTTAAGCTGTAGTGAGTTTGGTGGTATGCTGCTCTATATGGGCGGAGTAATACACAAAGGTGAAGAGGCTGTTCGAGTTCTAATATTGCAGAATATCACACTGCCATCAGCCAATCAGATTCAAGTACCAGACAGAACTGTTGTATAAATTATTTATTTATATATATATATATATATATATATATATATATATATATATATATATATATATGCACACACACACACATAAACATACATACACAATGGAAGTCATTAGCTTTTTTTTCCAGCATTCTTCAGTATAACTAAGAACGAAACTCAAACAAGTGGACGATGACTAAATGATGACAGAATGATCATTTTTGCGTGAACTGTCCCCTTAACATCATCCACTTGAAGTTTGTCTTCTGTTTGCATTGTTTTTACATGTTGGATGAAGTGGATGAGGCAATATCAAGTAATAATGAGCATAAATCAGTGATGTACGCCGTCAGAGCTGGCCACCGTATACTACTCTGTGTTATTTCTCTCTCTCTCTCTCTGTGTGTGTGTGTGTGTGTCTGTTCAATATGATTAATTTAACGTGTGGGACTAGAATGATGTCCGTTAGGCCTCATTGGAGGCTTGTGATTTGAGGGAGAGCTGAGTGAAAACATGAACTGGGAAAAAAGAAAATAACAAAAACAAATATGCTTGTATTTTTTCCTCATATTGTTATTAGAAGAGATGTTCACCTTAGTAACAAAGTACAAATAGAGTATTATTATTATTATTTAAAATGAGTGGTGTATATGATATCTATGGTGATTGTGCCTTTCACTATTCTGCATGGTTTTCATGATGTGCCGACTGTTTCATCCGTATGACATGGGCATCAGAGACCTATGCAAAATACCATGATGGGTTTCCAGCATCCATTCAGAAATGCAGGTTCCAGACAATAACAATAAACACTCAGGATGCAACCGCAATCTGGACTCATTCTTTACCTGTGTGCTTGTTTCACTAATTGGAAACGCTTCTTGAAAATACAAGATGTGTTGCTGTCTGCATTACATAAAATGTCCTATAATTGTTTTAAATTCCAGTAAAGTGTCTTGTTATCCATAATAGCTTTTTGGAAAAATTAATATAGGTGAAATAACATCATTCAAGTGTAACAGATATATTCATAAATATATGTAGTTATAATCTGTAAATAATTAAATGGCATGCTTATTAAATACAAACAGTTGAAATCAGAATTTTTAAACCCCCTTTAATTTTTTAAAATATTTCCCAAATTTATGTTTAACTATTTTTCACAGTATGTCTGATATTTTTTTCTTCTTTAGAACGTCTTATTTGTTTTATTTCGGCTAGAATAAAAGCTGTCAGCTAAGAACAGGAAACTGAGGCTACAATTCATACAGGTTCACTAAACTGGACTGTAGAAGATTGGAGAAAACGTTGCCTTGCCACATTGGTGTGATCGGGTCAGAATTTGGCATCAACAACATGAAAGCATGGATCCATCCTGCCTTGTATCAACAGTTCAGGCTGGTGGTGGTGTAATGGTGTGGGGGAGATTTTCTTGGCACACTTTGGGTCCATAAGTATCAATTGAGCATGGTGTCAACACCACAGCCGACCTGAGTATTGTTGCTGACCATGTCCATCCCTTTATGAGCACAGTGTCTCCATCTTCTGATGGCTACTTCCAGCAGGATAACACGTCATGTCATAAAGCGTGAATCATCTCAGACTGGTTTCTTAAACATGACAATGAGTTCACTACACTCAAATGGCCTCCACAGTCCCCAGGTCTCAATCCAATAGAGCACCTTTGGGATGTGGTGGAATGGGAGATTCGAATCATCCATGTGCACCAACAACTGCGTGATGCTATCATGTCAATAAGAACCAAAATCTCTGAGGAATATTTCCAGTATCTTGTTGAATCTATAACACGAAGGATTAAGGCAGTTCTGAAGGCAAATCCAACCCGGTACTAGTATGGTGTACCTAATAAAGTGGCCGGTGAGTGTATGCTTTTGATACAAATGTAGTAAAACCATGAAAAGTTTGTACTAAACATAGTTAAACCTGTTTAATACAGTAAAGCAACTGTTAATTTTGTAGTAACTATGGCTTTGCTATAAAAACAACAACATGGCTAATTCAGTAAACAGCAAAACAATGATCATTCTTCGCATGGGTTAACTTTGTTTATGCTGCTCCTTTAAGCGTTTGCAGCAGTGTAAACTTAACAAATTCCCAACACTTCTCCTGTTTTTCCAAGAAACTAAAGTGTGTTTGACGATCACTCTCAAACAGCTCCTCCAGATAAACCTGCTCAGCGGGATCCTGCTGCGCATGCGTAGTGTGCGACTCACTCACACAAATGACTGCAGCGATCCACCTGTGCTAATAATATGTGACAAAGGAGCAGAAGCGCACATTTCACCTGTAAGTATGATGGAAACACTGCATTACAAACGTCACTAATGTTGTTAAATTGTTCGTGTACGCATATTAATGCGCGCGTTGCGTTTATGGCCGCGTTGTTGTGTCGCGTCATACGCTAAAAGCACATCATCTGTAAAACATCTCTGGAGCGTCGAGTTCTGCTGTTTTAATCAGTTGTTTCTGCTACATTTGGCTATTTTAGGCGTGAACCCGCGTCATGTGTGGACGCCCGCGCACCTGCGCTTTAATGTCAGCCGATGCTTCAGTTTTTCAGCTCCGTGTGAAAACAGTCATCGTGTAAATCAGCTGTGTACATCCTCTGATATCACAGTCACGGATGTAAAAATAACAACAATACAGATAGATGGAGATTAAACAACACGACGCGATCCTCTGCGTCCTCTTTGTTTATTTTGATGTTGAGTTTGACACATAACGCGGGTTTGAAGCATCAGTTTTTCAGTCACTCTGATTGTTTTGGTCTTGTCGGAGGTTATTACTCTATAGGGATACTGGGGAACTGATCCATACAGGAAGTGTGCACTCTTCATCCTGCCTCATATATGATCATGTGTTCATATTGCGTGACAGTCTTTAATATCGTCCACCACATGTCAGAGATTCTGTCGATGTTGTCTATAAACAAACATCCAGCTGGCCTTCATTGTTGTTAGTGGTGTAAAAGGATGTGGAGGCCTGGTTTATGTTACATGTAAGGGTTTTTAATTGGTGTAAAGTTGGCTTTATCTTCGCACATTCTAACTTTAACCTTCTTAATAATATAATTTCAGAAAAGTATTATTCGCCAGTTCCTAATAGTGAAATCATATTAGCAGCCATTCATTTTCTTTTCGGCTTAGTCTCCTACTGCAAAATCCAGCTTAAATCAGTCTAGCCTGGTTGAGTGGTTTTAGTTGGTAGACCAGGCTGGTTTTAGAGGGGTTTTGGCCATTTCCAGGCTGGTTTACAGCCATTTCCAGCCTGGTCTCATGGTCAGGCTGGAACCAGGACCAGCTAAAACCAGCTTGACCAGCCTAGCCAGGCTGGGAGCCCAGCCAAAACCAGCTATGTCCAGCTTAAACTAGGCTGGTTTTAGCTGGTCACTTTCCAGCCTGACCAGCTAAGACCAGGCTGAAAATGGTTGGAAACCAGCCTGGAAATGACCAAAACCCCTCTAAAACCAGGCTGGTCAACCAGCTAAAACCAGCTTAGGCTGGTTGAAGCTGGATTTTTCAGCAGGGTTACTTTTTCAGCACATGTTTTACGCAGCGGATGCACTTCCATCTGTAACCAGTCACTGGGAAACATCCATACACACTCATTCACACACTTACACTACGGACAATTTAGCTTACCCAATTCACAATGTTTTGGGACATTAGGGGGAAACTGGAGCACACAAAGGAAACCCACGCGAACACGGAAAACATGCAAACTCCACAAACTGAAATGCCAACTGACCTAGTCCAGGCTCGAACCAGCGAGGCGAATTTCTTGCTGAGGCGAATGTGGTGCTACCCACTACAACTCTGCGTTGCCCTATTAGCAGCCAATGACTATCAAACATTGTTGACAGTCAATTAAATAGCGCTATTGTTGTTTTGAAGTCATTCTTGCATGCGATTTCACCGCAATACTAGCGTCACAAGATGTGCTCGTAACAGTATGTCGTTATAATGAATCTGTATTAACCTTTGAGCAGTTTCAGCGTTATGGACGTGACATTTGCAGCAAAAACTCAAAACATAAATTCACATAGAAACTATACGTAAACGTTATATTGAAGCATCTGGAAATGATGACACAATAAATACAAACTGTCCCTTTAATTCTTCATAGCACAGATTTGTGAAGCGCTAAAACTTTGCTCATTGACTCTGGTCTAGGGCTGCACAAATAATCGAAAAAAGATTGCAATCTCAATTCGACCCTACGCACGAACCTAAATCAGCTTTTCTACATTTGCAGCACATTCTTTTGTTCTTGAAAGGTGCGTGGTTTCCCCTCTCCAACCATCTTGTTACTCCAAACTAGGTTAAGATACATGCCAAACACTCTTAAATAATTTAGGAGTTGAGACCAAGTCTTAACACTTAAGAACCTTTATAAAGCACACTTAGGGCCCTATCATACACCCGGCACAGTGTGGCGCAAGGTGCAGCGCAATAGTCTTTTGGTAGTTTCAGCTTGGCGCAAGAGTTGTTTTGAGGTGTTGCGCTACGCTGTTTAAATAGCAAATGCATTAGCGCTCATTTGTGCGCCCATAGGCGTTCTGGTCTAAAAAAGAAGGCGTTCTGAGGCGCACTGCTGGCGCGTTGCTATTTTGAGAATCTATAATAGAAATTTTCATTAGACCAAAACAAACCCGGTCTCAACTCCAGCGCAGAGTTGCACCTCGCTTACACACTGCTTAATACACACAAGAGAGCAATAGGCAAATATCTTTACATATGAAAAATTTTAAATATTAAGGATATATATAGGATATAATAAGAATAGATATAGGATATAAATATAAAGGATTAAAATATTACAAAACATATTATTTTCTAGCCTACCTAAATATGAAAAACCACTGCTTTCATGTCTTCTTCATCTCGGGAGGCTTTTTCAGTTCATTCATAACAATTTGCTTTTGTATAATGTTATTATTATTAGCAGTGTTATTTATTATATCCATATTTATATTTGTTTTATTAAAAACAAGCTTAGATTTGCCCACCTGTCAGGTTTTAGACCATATGGAGCACAGCATGTGTTTTAGGATATAACTCAGCACATTTTTGAGCACATTTTGTTATTATTATTCATTTATTCGTTTGCTGGAAATTAGAACTGAAGTTAGAAATAGTTTTGAAACGAATATTTGCGCTTAACAAACAAAAGTATTTATTGATAGACTAATTGATGTCCGTGCGTAAAGGTTTCCCTATCCAAGAGCGAAAGTGAAAGTGATCCATTATCTCTCATTCTCACGCAGTAGATGCTGTTTAACTGTTTTCTGTTAAAAAACTCTCAACTGTGAACTGTTTGTTTGTGAAATGCTCATTTTTTCCACTTAGACTTACTTTGCGTCCTGTAAATAGCGAATGCTCTCTTGGCGCGACGCAGCTGGCTCTTAAAGGGAATGGGAGATGAGACTGTAATTGGTTTATTCTCAAAACACACCTATAACTCATTAAGAAAATAAACTTAATCCTATTAGACCATGCACCGCGGCGCAAAGCGCATTTTCCCGTCCTTAAATTAGCAAAAACGCGTCCTGACACGCCCTGAAAGCGTTTGCGCCCTGCGTTTTGCGCTCTGCGCATGGACCGTCAAAATAGAGCCCTTAATCTTACGTCTAGAAATAAAAGTAAAGAAAAGTCATTCTTAGAATTTTGACACACTTAAGAGTAAAATTGTACACTGAGCAGCTTTATACATGCGGCCCTTGATCTGTTTCCTGTAAGACTGAACGCAGAACGTGTGTGTTGCTGATTTCAGGTAGAGGATGTACACTCCGGCAGCCGATACGGGAGTGACGGTGGTGGAGGAAGACGCCACTCTGAGTAATGCCTACTCACCTGTCGACTACATGAGCATCACCAGCTTCCCTCGACTGCCAGAAGACGAGGTTTCAGCTGACAACACGATCAAGACACGCAAAGATGACGATAACTTCCTCGGTGAGCAGGAAGCAGGTAAATATGCGTCGGTAATGATAAAACCCTAATTACCTGATCTTGAGTAGTGGAACACTGTGACTGCGTTCCAGTCCAATTGTTTATGTCCTTCACTCGCTAACTTCCCTCCATCTCGTTTACTGGGATGTACATTATTGATTGTTAAGCTATTGTTGCAGATTGAATAAGTGTCCACTACTGGAGGAGCATCTGGATGGGTTTAAATTGGAGTGCCCTAAACGCCTAAGCACTTGTAGACTACACTGTTGTGATGTCGAAATCACATATGAAGGTGCTGGAGTGGACATGTGAAGTAGACTTACTCCCTCTGTCAAAATCAAGGGATTGAGGATATGTCAATGTAAACTTCCCTCGTTCACTTGATGAAGTGGAACACACTTTAAAATGGTGGCAGGGATTCTCCTGAGGGAACAAGAAAAGGGAAGTTCGGGAGTAGGGATGTGCACATCGATAATCGAGTATCGATACTTAGAAGCTTCTAACTTGGTATCGATATTTTTACTAAAATATCGATATTTCAACTATAGTTCAATAATTTCTGTGTAACTAAATGTTTTAGCACTGTGATGCTCTGTATACAAGACATTACACCAATCAATCAGCGGTGGAACGTCACGTGAGTGATCATGTGCCTTTCAGATAACTTACGTACTCAACACACGCAAGTCACACACTTCTGCATTATGGAACGACGCAATGGCAGAGAGGTAACACAGCGTGTTGTCGTGCTCATTAGCGTGCTCATAAGTGTTGCACGAGCAATATTTGTGATAAGAAAGTCACACACACACATGTTTGTTTTTGTGAAAAGTGGGGACATTACATAGGTTTCCATTCATTTTATACTGTCCAAACCATTGTATTGCCCTCACCCCACCCCTAAACCCAACCATCACAGAAGACTGTGTGCAGCTTTACTCCATGAGTAAACTTATCCTGTGTGATTTAAAGGCTTTTGGAGAAATGAGGACGTCACCAATGTCCTCATATTTCACCTCCTTTTTGTAATACCGGTGTCATAGCCATGTCATTATACAGATTTATGTCCTGATATGTCACAAAAACACGTACACACACACACACACACACACACACACACACATTTATATATATATATATATATATATATATATATATATATATATTAGTAAACAGCAAATAATAGTATAATATATAGTATAATAATTATAATAATTAAATACAAATAAAAATAAATAAAATAATAAATCAGAATAATAAATCGGCTCTCTTTTTCTCTCTGATTACCATTAGGTGAATAAATATAAGTGTGTGTGTGTGTATCTGTGCAGTGTGTATATATAGTATCTATGTGTATGCGGTGTGTATATGCAATATGGTCGTGTGTATGTATATTTACATTATGATGTTTTTTATTACCATTATTTAGAAATATTACATTACCATTGTAAATAATAAGTGCTATCAATATCTGTATCGTAAAAATTTTAACAAAAAGTATCGATATAAAAAAGTATCGGTATCGTATCGAATTAAAAAATTGTGGTCTCGCCCATCCCTATTCGCGAGTGTGTGTCTAAAAGTGGACTGGAACGCAACCTGTGTGTCAGTATTCTAACTCCACCCACCATCAGGTGAATATGCAAATTAGTCCTCTGATGGTGTTAGATTTTATTCATGGCTATATGGATACGCTTGTCATGATAAGGAATCATTGTTGAGCAATATATTGTCTCAGGAATTGTTGTGATAATAGTATTATTCTCATTTTGAGATCATTTTATGCTACTGGTTATATGATTATAACAGCATAATAGTGCAAACAGCCGTTAATACTTTAAAATAGATTTTATGAATAAATCATGAATAAAAATCAAACCCTCGTAAAGCTAATATGGAAGTAACTGAAACTGCAATTCATCAAAATACTGCTAGTCCTGGCTACAGGAGCTCATTTCTATTGACCTCACTGTTAAAATGGCCGACTTTACTGCAGGAAAAATAGACATCACTTACTTTTTCTATCAGTGCTTTACAGATTGTTATGCCTTTTTTGTAAAGGAACAGAAACAAGATGTTTTTTATTACCGAAATTACAAATAAACAAGAAAATGTTTCATGCAAATACTGAACTTTAAACTAAAAATGAAAACCAGACATCAATATTTCATGATGATTAGGGCTGAATGTGATTCAGGAGGTGAACAATGTCTAAAATAAGAATAGTGGTAGTCTTAAAGTTAATGTTTTCAAGACAATATGTTCCTTAGCCTTTATTTTTTGGAGACAACTTGATATCAACGTTTGCATAAAAGTGTTTGTTTATGGTAATATAAAAACTCTAAACACATTTCCTCAATTCTTGCTCCCACTGAAATTTTACACTCTGTAGAAGATCCGTTCTATGAAAACAATGAGTTTTGCACTAAAGATATCAGATGACCGACCGCACCTACAAGCCCCAGGAGATTATCCAAAAAATACTTTGGAAGTTAATGATTACAGGTGTCCAGCTTTCTTCAGTCAATCTTGTTTGGTGTTCAACAGAAAAAAAGCATACACAGGTTTTGAACAAGTGGAAATGATGACAGAGTTTACATTTTTGGTGAAATAATACCTAATCTGCAAATAAACGAATAAATAAAAACTGTTATTGTTATGAAAAGCGTATTGTTTCTGCTGCTGCCTAAAGTAAGCAAACGTTTCATTTAACACAGTTGCAGTTTTATTAAAGGGCCATGACACCCGCCACTTTCGGTTAGAGTCTACTTCAGAATTTTTTCAAAAGATGCATGATTAATGGGCGGAGCTCTGCGAGCACAGGGCAGGAGTGGGCGTGGCCAGCAGGGGAGAAGGGGAGCGAACAACTGTTGTTGACAGTTAGCTCACAAACTGAGACACATGTGAGGAGACGCATGAGTTTATAGTTCACAAAGTTAAAATGCAAAGAAATAAACAGTAATTTAATGCCCTGCTACATTTGTTATTCGTAATTTCATATACACATAACCACAATTTATATCATTATAAAGATAAGTGTGTTCCTGTAAACACTATAAATGAGGATTCTTCCTCGATCCCCGTGTGTAAATTATAGATCTTGAATGCAGACTCAGTGCAGCAGGTCTCCTGACCTGCCTATTTTAACCATTAGCCCTGCTGGTAATATAGAGGATTTAGGCAAACACAGCAGCACGGCGATGTGTCTGAATGTGAACGAACTCCTGATAAAAGTCAGCGTCCGCCATTCTCTAATTCTCGCACTGCTCTCCCGACAAAAATGCTTGCAGCACACACACAGCTTTGCTGTATGATCGGCCCTGACAGGATCGCGGAGAAAAAACATGCAACAAACCCCGTGGATCATGGAAACAAACACATACGAGCCTTCATGAACGGCTTCTGCGTGCCGTTGGTCTGTGTCTCACAGCTTGCTTGAAACTGGCAGGTCTGCCTTCGGAAAGCACGTGCTCTCATGAATAATTAAGCAGCCGGCTCTTCTCATAGGATAAGAAAACTCCGCTATGAATAATAATGAGAAACCGACGCATCATCATTGCACTTGCAGTTCTGCGCTACTTCGCTGATTTTGATCCGCCCCAAAAATCATTTTAAACCCGGAAGCTGAAATTATCTGACAAAAGCTCAAAATTATCCAGTTTATCCCACAGTTAAAGCTGACAGGTGCTAACATTGTCTTAACTGATGCTCAACACACACACATCTGTTAATACAAAAAAAAAGTTCTCCGGGGTGTCCTGAGCCTTTAAGGCGCTGTATGTAATTTTCACCTCTAGAGGGTGTATTTTCACAATAAACAAAGGCGCATGTTGATGACTGAGAGCGTACTCGCATTATGCTATCCGAACCGTGCTCAGGCCCGTTTCCCGGATCGTTTGAGAAGTGTGATTCAGGCTCAGGCACGGTTCACTTGGCCGGCCCTGGCCAGGTTGAAAGAGGTGTGCCAGAGCGTGGTTCACCTGGGCTTTGGCGCGGTGCGCTTATAGTGTGAGTGCAAAACGCGGCAGAGCCCAAAACTAAAGACGAGACGGGACTGTTTGAAATGGATTTATTAATTATCCTGTACTGTCCTGTCTCTTACAGCAGACCCAGATCTGTTCCTGAAGTCAGCCCGTCTGCAGCGTCTGCCATCCTCCGCCTCTGATTTGGCCAGTCATGACGTGTCTCCGCTACGGGAGACCAACAGAGACCCGCTGGCTCAGGAGTGCGCCTGCACCCGGGATGGCCTCACCGTCATCATCACCGCCTGCCTGACCTTCGCCACTGGCGTCACTGTGGCCCTCATCATGCAGATCTACTTTGGAGAGCCACAGGTGCTGTCTTATATATACATATACACTCACTGGCCACTTTATTAGGTACACCTTACTAGTACCGGGTTGACCCCCTTTTGCCTTCAGAACTGACTTAATCCTTTGTGGCATAGATTCAAGAATGTACTGGAAATATTCCTCAGAGATTTTGCTCCATATTGACATGATAGCATCATCCAGTTGCTGTAGATTTGTCGGCTGCACATCATTAATGCGAATCTCCCGTTCCACCACATCCCAAAGCTGCTCTATTGGATTAAGTTCTGGTGACTGTGGAGGCCATTTGAGTACAGTGAACTCATCGTCATGTTCAAGAAACCAGTCTAAGATGATTGACCTTTATGACATGACGCGTTATCCTGCTGGAAGTAGCCATCAGAGGATGGAGACATTGTGCTCATAAAGGGATGGACATGGTCAGCAACAATACTGTGGCAGTAGGCTGTGGCGTTGACACGATGCTCAATTGGTACTAATGGACCCCATGTGTGCTGAGTAAATATCCCCCACACCATTACACCACCACCACCAGCCTGAACCGTTGTACAAAGCAGGATGGATCCATCCTTTCATGTTGTTGACAGCAAATTTCAACCCCATTCTTCGTAAACTCTAGAGATGGTTATGTGTGAAAATCCCAATAGATCAGCAGTTTCTGAAATACTCAGAGCAGCTCGTCTGGCACCAACAACCATGCCACATTCAACGTCACTTAAATCCCCTTTCTTCCCCATTCTGATGCCCGCTTTGAAC